CTGGATTGTCTGTACAAGATCAAGTCAGTCAGCACTCTAGTATAGAGAAAGTCCCTACCCCTTACTGGAGAGCAATTGGCAGTTGATAACATCTAGGGCATGGAGAATCAGTTTTCTGCAGTAGTGTGGCTCATGACAGGTTGCCTATGCTCAAGCAGACGACCCCATACTCATGTGTATATAGATATCATGAATTAAACTTAGTATATTATAAAAACAGAAAAGAGAAAGAGGAGGAATGAAGGTGGGAGGGTGAGGGGGGAGTGGAAGAGAGTTTATGATATATATTATATATATAGAATATATATAATATATTTATATAAAAATATATAATATATAATATATAATATATTAAATATATAATATATTATTAATAATAAAATTATTCTTTAGTAATTATATATATAATATATATAATATATATATATATAATTACTAAAGAATAATTTTATAAGTGAAAAACAAAACAACAAAAAACCTCTCAAAACATTAGCATCAGGTAGTCTAAGCCTTTGACTGTTCAGAATGGCAGAACCAACAGGACACTAACTAGCTTCTTTAACATAGTTTGTGACTAACAAAATATTATTTTAATTAATTAATTTTACGTCCTTGACCACAGTTTCCCCTCCATCTTTCCTCTTATTCTCTACCCCTCTCTTCCTGGCTCCTCCATCAGTCAATATACTCCTCCTCTGTTTCTGTTCAGAAAGGGGCAGGCCTTCCATGGGTATCAACAAAGCATGACATTTCAAGTTGTTGTAAGCCTAAGCACTTCCTCTTGTATTAAGGCTGGGTAGGGCAATTCACTATGAAGAATAGGTTCCCAAGAGCCAGCCAAAGTGTTATGAACAATCCTTGTTACCATTGTTAGGAGTGGTACAAGTAGATAAAGCTATCAAGCTACACAATTGTCACATATGCAAATATATGTATATATATGTATGTATATAGGTGTGCATGCGTGTGTGTGTGTGTGTGTGTGTGTGTGTGTGTGTGTGTGTGTGGCTTAGGTAGGTCCCATGCAGGTTCCCTGAAGTTGGTTCAGACTCTGTGAGTTCCTGTAAGCCAGGTTAGTTGATTCTGTGGGTTTTCTTGTGATGTCCTTTTCTCTTGTTGCTCCCCTATAATCCTCCCTCTCTTCAGCATGATTTTCTGAGCTCAGCCTAATGTTTGGCTCTGGGTCTCTGCAGCTGTTTCTATCAGTTACTGGATAAAGGCTCTCGGATGAAAATTGGGGTAGTCACCAATCTGACCACAGCAGATGGCCACTTCAGGCTATGTATCCACTATTTCTAGGAGTCTTAGTTGGGGTCATCCTTGTAGATTTGTGGGCATTTCCCTTGCATCACCCCCAGCTTTTCAATCACCATTCAGATTTATTTTTAAAGTGTGTGTATGTGTTTGTGCATGAAAGTTATGTGCACTTGTATGCAGGTGTAAACAAAAGTGAGAGTTGATTGGATCACCCTGGAGTTGGAGTTTTTGGAGGTGGGATTGTGAGCTACCTGATGTCAGTGCTGGGACTTGAGCTCAGGCCTACTGTGCAAGCACTGTGCACCCTTAGCTGCAGAACCATTTCTCCAGCCCTAACTTTATGACTTTGGACAAACTAATTTTCAGTATTGGAAAATGTAATTTTCATACATGGGAAAACAGCATTAATTAATTCTACATCACATTTAGAAATTAAACAAATTCCAGTTTTGTTTCAAAGCATTTGTTTACCTGTCACTTCTCTTGTATAGTTTTCAGTAGATCACTTACCTAAATTAAAAAAATAGTTACTGTTAAGTAGAGAAACTCAGAATACAACAAGTCCTTACGAGGCAATTTAGAAGCATTAAGAAGTTCTAATTATACTATATGAATAATTTAAGTGTTGGTATTTTTCTTTAGACCTTATGCATTTGGCCAGAGGCATAAGTGTCTTATGGCATAAGTGGATCTTGTATAATAGATGAACATTATGAGTCAAAAAATACAACAGAAGAATGTAGATCTTGTCCCACCACCTCCAATCTACTTCCTTTAATTGCTGAAACAGAGTCTTGGTGCAATTAAAAATATTGTAATTATAAAATGGAGGTATTATTGTATAAATTCCAAACAAGAATAAATACACTCTTTATAGCATGCATTTTAAACTTGCATTTTACTATATTATAAGGAGAAATAAATTCTTTTAGATAGACTTTAAAGAGAAATGACAGAAATTTATGTACCTAATTTCAAGAAAATCTCTTTTTAAGATAAAATATGCTGCAAAATAAGAACTTCCCATGCAATCCTCACATTTTAGCATAGTATGTCTAGGAAGGCTTTGTATGAACACTAATTACAGGTTTGTAGGAATTCTTTTGGCAGTGAAATATTACATTTGTAAAAATAGACCACACTCAGTCATATTACCTGAAAAGACCCTTAGTCTGGCTATAATTAAAAATAAAAATGGCTATATAATAGCATTGTTCAAAGATCAAATCAAATCATTAGTTTTTCTTGCAGGTGAGACTGCTGACATATGTAGATGTGGCTATCTCTCAGCATGTCTTGGCTTTCTCCTTTGAGAGCAATCCAAGCTGCCTTAAACCCATCTTCACACGGCCTCTCACCCCTCTCCTCCCGTCTTCTTCCCTCTGATGATTGCTCTGATATCCTGCAGATAACTACTTCTGCTGCCTGAATTTTCTCTCTTCAGACCTGGTTCTTCCCTTTCCTCATATCGAAGTCAAATTACTTTTGAAAAGTGGTCTCATGTTTTTTTTTTTTTCTTGACATGATGATACATGTTATTTATATCATGCTTGTAATGTATAAATAGTTTACAGTTGATAGAATCCTAGTATATAAGCCATTACACATGGTAGCATTTCAGCAACCTATAGAAAAATATATAACAAAGGACCTTGAGGAAAGTATTATGATTGATTTGTTTGTATGCATGAATGCATGTAAGATATTTAGCAATATGTGTGGATATATTCTCCTATAACAAACTCTCTCTCTCTCTCTCTCTCTCTCTCTCTCTCTCTCACACACACACACACACACACACACACACACACACACAGGCACACACACTAAGAAGAGACTATGTGGCTCTACAAAGTCTAAATACTAATTTGTGTTATTTTATAGTAGTATTTAAAATTTTTAATGCAAAAGTAAACTTTTGAGGTGGTAGATTGGTATTTTCCATGAAATCATTTCATGGTTGTAAAAGTGGGAAGTATATGATCCTGCAAAATGGTTTTCTGTGAATTGTGCATTGACCATCCCAACTACTTTAAATAGACAAATGTTATTTCTGAAATTTGTGACTAGTTGAGTAAAAGGTTTGCTATTCTAATCCTGTACTAGAATTTTGCAGAAACACCTGGGAATAGGAATCCTGAAATCCCAGTCTCCTCCAGTTTTTCCCTGGTGTGAAGCATGGGGCAAGGCGGATCTTCATAGGACACTATTAATGATCTTTGCGTATAGAAAGGTCCCTCTAAAGGAGAATAGGAAGGAAAATCTAAATTGGTTTTTCTATGAATGGAGATCCTGGAAGGGAATCCAGAAGCTGGAGGAGCTGGGTGGGGTAAGGGAGATTCTAGAGGCTTTTGCTTCAGTACACAAATACCTAGTGATCCCTTAAAACGGGCAGAACATGCTTCTAGGTGCCAGAAATGCACTGGTAAACAGATACAGTTTCTGTATTTTTTCCTTGTATGGTATTCTAGTAGGCAGGTGACTGTAGAAAAGGACATTTTTAGCAGCTTGGGGATGCCAAAGGTCTTTTAAGACATAAACTCTTCAATGTTAGATTCATTGCTATTATGTAAACTATCATGTTGACCCTGGATTTCCAGAAAAGTACAATGTTACATATACTTCAGAAAGTACATAGGGCATTGAGAGAGAAGGTATGTTCTCAGAGACAGCTTAATGCTTTAACAGCAGTATTTCATTAAGAACACCATGTCCACAAGCTTCTTAATTCAAAATAAACCAAAAGAATAGCTGGGTGCTCAAACCAGCCACAAAGATAAGGGTAAACTGATGTTAATTAGTAGAATGAACCATTCCTTCCTGGATTGAAACTATGAGGAACTGAAAAGGAAAATTCTGTTTCCTTTCTGGAACAAAGCTAACAAAATATGAAAATAAATACAATTGATTATCTCCTGTTTCAAAAATCCATCATGAGTTTTGGGCCCAAATAGAACTTTAATTGAGTACAAGTTAAAACCAACAATAATGAAAGGCTGTGAATTATTTCTTCCCTGATTGCCTGGAGGAGGAGCAGTGTAGTTTTTGCCCTTAAGACTCATGTAATTTTGGTCAGAATGTGATTTTCATGCCCACTGCAATAAAAGATTCAACAGATAAGCCCTAAGGTGTCTGGTTCTTTGCTCATTTCCCAGCTCACCTGCCTAGCCCTCTGGTAAGGCTGTCTGCTAGTTTCATGGAATGCATCCTTAGCCTTTCTTTCCTCTGGTCTCCATTTGGTACCTTGGAAGACGCCCTAGATGAGGCACCTGTAACCTTAGGCTGCCTCAATCAAGGACTGAGGTAATTTGCCAGCTTTCTAGTAACAGTATTTGCAGTTCTATTTTGGTTGAGACAAGCCAGGGACAAAGTTGAAAAAAAAACAAAACAAAACAAAACCCAGAGCAGGTAGCTCAGCCAACACTTCCACAGCTTCCACCTCTGGCACCTCTTTGGTCTTCTGCTCACACGACTGGCATCAGTACCCTCTACAACACTCTTATAATTTCTTGCTACTGTTCTGAGCTGACCCAAAGCTGTGTACAACATGGGTACCAGAAGTAAAGGAAGAGACAACTCTTATTGTCCTTTTATTTCTATTCAGTCAGAGAGTTGTCCCCATGCTACCTTATGAATTCAATAATTTGCAGACTTTACCACAAAACTGCTGTTTCAATTTAAGTTTATGATCACTGTCGTTTTAACCAACCTGCTTAAAACTTTCTGTTGTTTTTGTGAAACAGGCCTCAATATTATTCTCAAAAGATGGAAGAGTCACATACCTTGGTGCCCAGCAGCTGCTTCTTTGTCCTGCTGGAATTGAGAGTCTCTACTGGATCCTCTTGGACTTTATACAATGGAATCCCTGTATTACTAACACTAAGTTCTTCTTGGTTAAATAGTATTTTGTTTCATGCCTGAATAATACCACTCTGACTTCCATTGTGGTATGTCTGATGCTGTGATGCTTTCATGGAGTTAACTTGGCAGTTTATAAATAAAACTTTATGTTTCAGAGTTCTGGGGGCTCAGAAAACCTGAATCAAGGCATTGTGAGAATGTCTGTTGTGGGCTCCCTTCCTGCTTCAAGGACCTTGTCTGGTTGCTGTGTCTTCACACAAAGGAGGGAACAGAAAACCACCACGAACCCTCATTTATACATGTATTTCATTCACAAAAAGAAATCCTCATAATTTAATCACTCCCATCTCTAATATCATCACATTGGCTATAAGGTCTCAACATATGAAGTTGAGGAGATTGACATTGAGCACATGGTAGCCTCCTGTTATATGCTCATGACATGCTCTGCAGTTCCTCCCTCAGTGTAATGCTTAGCTCTGTGACAGATACTCAGGTTTGATAGTTTAGTACCTGTTTTCATCTTGCTCCCTTCAGCATCTTCAGAGATAATTCTAGTGCTTAGTAGGGACTTAAAAGTGCAGGCATCAGATTCTAGGACTCTTTAGGTTGGTTAAAGTGGCAGACTCCAGTTGTTTCGTGCATCTTCCTCCTTTTTCTGTGTTCAAGAAGCTCTGTATCTTGGCAAAGTTTTCTTCTCGGAAGTGGTAAATACTCATAGGAGGTGCTTCACTGGTGCAAGGTTATAGATTTCTATCTGTCTTGTTTGTATTTAGAATGAGATCTTGAGTGTTGTACATCTGTAAACATTCAGATCCCATGTCCCCCAATGTGAAAGAAGACAAATGAATGACAAATCATCACATAAAAGGATACTCCACAGTCCTTGTCACTGGGGACTGCAAATGAAAAGAACAATGGGATGCCAGTAAGACCTGTTAATGGGCCAAACACACAGCACTAAGGCTTCCAAATGCTGGTGAAGATGTGGAACAAGAGAACTCCTATTCACTGTGGCTCAGAATGCAGACTTGGCAGAACTACATTAGCAGGCAGTTTGTCAGTTTCTTATAAAATGGAACACACTTGTGGAGCATGATCCAACAATCGTGGTCCTTGGACTTTACCCAGAGAAACTGAAAATGATGTCCATGCAAAAAACTGCACATAGCAGAGAAAAGCGTGTGTGTGTGTGTGTGTGTGTGTGTATGTATGTATGTATGTGGGTGTGGGTGTTTGCCAACACTTGGAATCAAAGAACATGGTCGCAATACCTGAATGAACAAGTAAATTATGAGACTTCCAGACAATGTAAGATCCAGAACAAAAAAGAGCTGATTCTGTAAGTTGTGGAGAGGCATGGAGAAATGTTAAGAGGGATGGGGGTAAGTGGAAGAAGCCACTTGGAAAAAGCTGCATAATTCTAATTTTATGGTATTCTATAGAGCCAATGGCTATCAGGGGTGAGAGGTTTCCAGAGATAAATAGGAAAAACATCATGACATCATGGTTTTTAGGACCCTGAAGATTTCTTTATGATACTAGAATGGCAGACACATTCATTATTCATTTGTCCAAGACTGTAGAATGTACCATACAAAGGGTATCCTAATGTAAACCAGATCTTGGAGGAGAATGATGGATCAACGCAGGTTTGCAGGTTTGCTGTGACAATTGTGCTGCTAAGGTAGGGTGTTGGCAGTGAGAGACTGCACATGTGTTAGGGAAGAGGATGACTGGGAATGCTCTGATTATTGCTTAAATCATCTGTGATCATAAAATTGCCTCCAAAATACGAGTGGGTTAACTACACAACCTTTCAGTAGCAAAGGTACCTGCACAATAGCTGGCCTTTTGCCATTCTTCTAAGAAGAGAAGCATTTCTGTCTTTATGTATGCTAAGGATGTAGCCCAGAGCTCATCATGCTAAGCTCATGGTGCACCAGCAAGCTTCATCTTCTACTTCTGTAATGACAACTGCAACTTTGGTTTGGGGATTCGGCATTTTTAGTATATATATATATATAAAATTGCTTCTATTTTGTTAAGGCCTTGAGCTGTGTAACTTTTGTAGTGTTCCTTAGTTTACCACATTTCTGCCAAATTCTGTTACTTAGTCTGATCCATGCTGTTCTGTTTGCTCTTTGCAGGACTGCCTGCGAGTCTGGCAGACACTGCTCTTCACAGTTCGTACTGGCTTCTCTACTTATCTGTCATTTCTGCTTCTGCCATGGTTTGGCTATCCACATCTGCTTCTTTTATCTTTATTTTACATTTTCACCATTCCACATTCTTAAAGACAGCTAGTTACCATTTCTATCAAGACTCTGGCCTGGACTTTTTTCTGCTTCTCATCAAAAGCTGTGGAATCCTTTGGGATCTGAGAGGCAGCATGGGGAGAAAACAACTGTAGGTTAAGCTGCCCTGGATCCACAGTAGGGGAATTGTCTCTGAGCCCTGGGAGCTCTCTGTGTCAGCACATACTGACACCCATGCTGGGCTCTAATTTCAATGCAACAGTTGTTATCAGATAGCACAGAATGTACACTGCCAATCATTCTGATTGCCACACAAATCTGGACAAAGTGTAGGCCCTGGTTGGCAGAGTTGATTTGTTTTTAATAAGCACATCCATTGTTACATTACTTTTTAATATTTGGGCTATATGCTATGCTACAGGACAATTTAATGTATAAAAACTGAATTTGACTTGACTTATCTTGTACAGAGGCTTTCCTGGAGCAATTAACACATGAGAGAAAACTAGAAAGTCACACACTTCTTTCTCTGAAATGGATTATGAAACCCAATTTGAAAAACAACTTGAAGGAATTACATGCTACGTCTACTCGTGGTTATTCAAAAGCTTTGTCTCTCTCCTGTTGGCCACCTCTGTTGTCATGACAACAATCCTTTCACAGCTGCCATAGTGTATTTGCTGAGCAACGATAGAGCCACTGTTTATGAAAATGGTTATTTAAGAACAGGTGTCACTAACATAGGACTCACTGTCAAGCATTAACAAAAGAGCAAAATGGAATATTGCTTCATATAATATTAGGAAAATGTTAGAAGAATAATAACATAAGGCATTTGGGCATACTGGGCTTTTTGTGGGTTAGTTGAATGTAAACATGGCAATTACAGGGCACCATTGAAGCTTAGTCCTGCATAGACCTTAGAAGAATCTAGTGTAAATACTTAAGGTTTTGTAATGGCAAAAATTCTACCCTACTCTTCATGAAGTAAAACATAATTTCTTGCAGAAAACTTGATGAACACTAGAAATTTATGTTGCCATTATGAGAAATGGAGATCTAATCTAAGTGAACATCATATCCTTTCTGGTTCACAACCTTGTTAATTAAACAAATACATATTCTCATGTTTCTGTTGGACTATATAATTTTTATGATAATGCACCCTTATATCTAGGGAGATATTCCCAATTGAGCAAAGTAATTGAGTCATATACTTGCCTATGTATGGATAACTGATTATTTACCAATGAAGATGAAAGCAAAGTTGAATTAAATAGTGCTAGTCTTGAAGGTATAAAGCACTCCAAGCTGAAGAGCCCTTGCTAATGTTTCTACAAGCTCTCCTATTCATCCTTAAAAGCCTTAAATAAATTCTTCTTTTGGAATTACTTGAAAGAAAATGGCCAGAGTAGGGGGCCTTCCAGTTTCAAGAGAACTCAGCCATTTATGCTAAGTGCTAATGAATAATTTGTGAGCCAGCCGTAGTGAGTCTACCCATAGCTGTAATAATGCCCCTGAACTCCCATGGCATCTCTCCTCTCACAATGTGATTATTGTAAGACTGTTCTTTCCATCATTTCCCAGGGGTGAAGCTCTTCCTTCCCTAGCATTTGTAAGGCATATCTCAACTTACCAAGAACTATAAGAGTTGTCAGTTTCAGCCAGAACTCCACAATTTACTGTCAATTGCAGTTATTGAATCCTATCTGCTGTGTTTTGCCATTATTTCCAATCATACTTTTTTTCTTTCAAAATGTGTATAGCTGGGTGATGATAGTGCATACCTTTAATCCCGGCTGAGACAGACTCTATGAGTTTGAGGCCAACCTGAACTACAGAGTAAGTAGAGTAGTACACAGAGAAACACTGTCTTGAAATATAAAACAAACAAAACAAAAACTGTAGGCTTTCATTGACTGACATTTTATACATGAACTGTAGAATCTGATTAATTATTGCATATTAAAGAATAGGACCCATTTTTTTCAAATGTAGAAATGAATAGAAAAGTATAGTGTGTAGATTTGGAAAATGGTTTTGGATCAATGGCAATAATTTAAAACAAATTTATTTAGTATAAAGAACCATTGTGTTATCTGAAAATTTACTATGGATAGTAGAGTTGATACAAGAAGTGGAAAACATTGGACTATGGTACTGTGATGCTTGGCTTTTGTCAATGTGACACAAAACTAGACATATCTGTGAAGAGAGAACCTTAGTTGAAGAATTTCTACCATCAAATTGGCCTGTGGGACATTTTTCTTAATAATTATTGATGTGGGAGTGACAAGTTCACAGTGGGGTGTCATCCCTGGACAGCTGGTCCTAGGTTGTATAAGAAAGCCAACTGTACAAGCCAGTGTGTAGAAATCCTTCACCATCTCTGTTTCAGTTCCTACCTTGAGGTTACTGCTTGAGTTGCTGTCCTGAGTTTCTTCAATGGTGAACCTGTAGGTATAAGCAAAATAAAACCCATTCTTTCCTGAGTTGTTTTTGATGGTCACGGCTTTTACAACAGCAATCGAAATCAATAACCATGGCTATGTATCTGCCATGGCCACATCAGTAATTACCATACTTAGCTCAGTAAAATCTGAGATTTTAAGAAACAAGTGGATGTGAGTGAATGCATGGGAACTGTGTAAAATCTAGTACTCCAAAAATGAGTGTTAGATGTTGGGCTCTAATGACAGCTGGAATTATTCTCTGCTCTGAAACTTGAGGTTATTTAAATAAACTCTCTGTACCTCACTTCTGGTTGTTGTTAGATAGAAACAATTCTTTCTAATGCAAAGAGCATAAAATCAACATGGTTAAAATAACTTGCATATAGTGGAAATTTAAAAATACTGTGATACTATTTAGATTCTATATAGACACTATAGCATAACAAACTATATATATTGTATTGTTTACT